GATTCGACTTCATCGCTATCACACTAAACATCGATCCAATTAATATGCTTGTAATTGTTAAGAAATATATGATTATTTTGTTTTTGTTATTTATTAAGGGTATAATAATCTTTTAAATTTCTTTTATTTTAGACTATATATAGTCTCTTTGTATTTAGGTTTATATTATTCAATTACATTATGCAGAATTAATAAAACCTCAACCTCATTTTCTTTTTCTCTTTGGATTGTTTAACAGAGTCATATGTCGAGGGTTTAAAACAGCTAAGCTTATCGATTTAACAATATGCAAATTATGTGATGCATATCAGATACTAATAGAGTTTAGCTTAGTTTTAATTTTATTGTATCCTTGAATTTATGGCAAACATGGAAGTGGGGTTTGTAAGATCTATAACCATATGTTATCATTATAGTTCATCACATTTCAAAATTTCTTGGAACAACCACATCGTAGTACATCAATTGTAGAAATAGTTCAAATTGGTGAATGTCGAATATTCAAGACAAGGTAACATAGCATAACAAATATAAATTTTGTATCGAACACAAAATTTCTCTAGACAAGAAAATACATTTATAGAGCATTTGAACTCGCATATTTAGAATATTAGACTGATAAGATCGAACACTAAACTAAAAGACAGTAATTAGATTTACATGTAATAGCTAGTAGCAAAGAGAAGAGGTTACCAAATCACACTTTAATGACCCTTTAACCACTTTCGGCTCTATCATTAGATTTGTTGTCCCATAGTGTGTGAACATGGTGAGTGATCCCATGGACCAGTTTACGTATTCTTCCTGACTACTGCACCTTTCTTATGCCGACAATTTAGGCAATTTAAGACCCACAAACAGTGGTTTCATTTTCATTCGACTTTACTTGTTCAGTCTGTACACCAAGTGTTTTGTACTGTTTACTTCAAAAGCATACATCCTTATATAAATAGTCAATAACAGAGACCACACGTGTGTGATTATGTTCCGTGTTCCATGGTATCTCATTTACTTGCAACGAAGCTAGTTTGGGAGGACTTCGTTTCTTGTAAATGAGTTTCACAAGTTTTCTTTAAAAATTTTTTTAACAATCTTTAAAAATGTTATTCAAACACGTTCCAAATGTATTCAGTCTCAGAAATAATTTTTGACTTTTCAAAAGCCTTATGAAACGGATCCAAATTATTGATACAGGAAGTACCCTTTTTTTGGAGTCAACACGTGATTTAAACGAGTTGCACATGCACCTTAATAAATATTAATAGGTCGGCACTTCAGAAATCCATGAAAAGTGGGAATTACGTGACATTTCGAATGGAGTAGGTTGCATTTTTATTAATTATTTAGAACTCGTCATGTTCAAATGTTTTGGTTTTAGTTCGATCTAATCCAAAAATTATAATTTTTTTCTATTAATAAATAGAATATTAAACTCGACCCAACTTCTCTTAGGTAATTTATGAGTGCATGTATATACTCGACAAATGCACCAGCAAATGTTGCTTTTGTAGGTGCATAATACAATTTTTTTTTCTAGTCACGATGCATTTGTAATTCATTTTATTTGATTCGGGTATTGACCTTAATAGCATAAGGTAATTTCTAATAATAAATAATCTTGCCCCGGGGGCATGCTAAGCTGGCAATTGCAGTGTGAGAGTTCGATTCCCACCTCTTACAATATATGGAATTAGACTATTTGTGGGCACCAGTATTGCAGCTCTTGTACCCTGGCCTGCTGAGACACATCCCGCAATTTACCTCATCCACAATGCTATAGGGGCGGGATGGGGCGGGATGGGGCGGGGTTCAACCTTTTTTTATTAATAAATAATATTTACACGATTATTTTTTTCTCAATCAATTGTGCATTAACTAGTTGGCATTATATGCATTGCATATTGAGCATTTTTGCGCCACAGATTGTTTACATTTTAAATGAAGATGTTGTACACAAGATTGCATAATAAATTAATGTACATTAGGAAGTTAATTATTGTGTATTATAAATGAAACCGTGATGAAGAAGATGCACATAATTTCTACATAAAATACCCGTCGAAAAAGAAAGCGACAGTATCCAGGTTTAATTAGGAGACAAAGCAATGACTCATTGATGTAAGACACCATGCTTATAGATATTAAACCATACCTTATTTTAATATTACAAATGTCAACGCAAGCCATACGTATTATATTCCTCTCTATTTATACGAAGTGAATATGAAGTGCTATGTGATATTAGGTGTCGTGTGTCCTCGATCCTTGAGGCAAAAGCAAGATTTTCTCGGATCGACACTTGAGTAGCCCAAGCATTCATTCAAATTCGAGATACAACCTTAAAACGAATCATAATTTTTTCGATCCCTAAAAATGATAGACGTCGTAGTTTAAATTTTAAAAATAATAATCTTTTTATTTAATGGTGTCAACCAATTAATAAAAAAATGAAGCAAATGATGTTTGTGTAGAGTCGCTTTGACTTAAAGAATCTATCGTGTAAGTGAGGTCAGGCATATGCAATTAATATATAAGTAGGTGGCCATTAGATTAAATTTGTCCCATAATTAACTTAATAGAATGATGTCACGTTTAAAAGTTAAAACTTTAATATATTCAACAAAATATCACTGCGTTTTCTTGATGCTACTAGTCTATGTTGACCACTATCTATGAAATAAAAGTATTCACTAATTGTTATGAACAACGTTCTATCAATCAATAAAAAATATGTTCATACTGTCACATAAATCGCTCTTCATCACCGATGAAAAGCAACACTATTAAGATAATCCATCAAAGTTAAGCCCCCGTTTATTTGGAATTTGGATAAAAAGTAAATTTTGATTAAAAAAATGGTAAAATATGTAGATGAAAAGTTGATAAAATTATGGATCCAGTGTGGTAGAAAATAAATTTGGAGAAAAACAACTTTAAAAAATGAGGCTAAAACATGAGCTTAATTAATCCATACGGAAATGTATTAAGGGACAATTATTACACGATAAGTTCATGCCAAAAGAAGGAATTTTGGTGTTGCTAGTTCTGCTTCGCCCTTGGCTCATCCCCAGACAGTTTTCCATCCTCTGTCGGCCGGCGTCCTCTCCTCTTTTTTAGTCTTGTTTGGTTGTTTTAAAAAAA